CACCTGTCACCCCGTCACTCTGCCACCCTAACCCTCCCTTTCAAACTCTGTTACCCCCTTTCACACTCTGTCAGCCCATTTCACACTCTGTCATCACCTCCACTCACACACACAAAGTCACCCCCCTCATCACACCCTGTCACCACACCCCCACACACACCATCACCCCTTTAACCCTGCCACACTCACTTTAACCCCTCCTAATCCTGTCACACTCACTTCAACCCCTCCTGATCCTGTCACACTAACCCCCTCCACTCAAACTGCACTCACCTCCCCTCGCTCTGCCACACTCACTCCCTCCACTCAAACCACACTCACCTCCCCTTGCTCTGCCACACTCCCCCAATCCTGTTACACTCACCTTTTCTCTCACCGTCAGGCTCCCCATTGCTCTTCCTGTCACACTCCCTCCTCCAACCCTGCCACACTCACCCTGTTGCATTAACACCTCTTATCCTGTCACAGTGGCAGTTGCTTTAAGACCATTTCATTGCTGTTAACATTGAGACTGGGCCTAGACAGGTTAGTGGTTATGATACATACAGTGTTTGCTCACTTGATGTATGCTAAACTGGTACGCGCCTTATTAATCCAATACTAAATATTTAATAAGGCATTACTCCACACCAAGATAAACTTTTATAACACAGAATAACAGCACCACCTAGTGTTCAATATTGATAACTAATCAGCTGAATTAAATTTGATGCAATCTCAAAACACAAAAATATTCCAATTGATATCAAATAAAATGAAGGAAACGAAATGACTGAATGACAAAATGATGGATTAAAGACATTAAGCTACAAACATTTATTACTAAAAAAAACTTGGTTGACATACTAGTGTAGTTAGTGAAGAGGGTCCTGTACAAACAATCTTGCAACCTAAAGGGGCTAAATTTAACAAATTACACACAATGGTTATAAATAATGTAAACTACAAACAATATTAACAGTAATGACTTAATTCTATCTTTTTGTCAATTTAATATTTCATAGAATTTACATGGCTCTCAATGATAGTTGTTTATATGAACCAGGATTTAGTGTATAATATTAAAAGAGAAAATGTTCTGAGTCTGTTACTTAGTGCTGTCTATAGACTTTATAAATGATTTGAAACACTCGTTGATTTATAAAATTGTAATTGATAGAACCATTCTAGAAAGAAAATATAATAATTCAATGCACAGCACTGACTGAGAAAAAGTTTTCAAAATGGCAAAAAAATTCTTAACTGGGAGGAGAAAAAGGAGAAGTTTAAAAAAAGCGGGCAGAAGCGATAGAAACAACATCAACCTCTACACGATCAATGCGAGGCGCCTCAATTCCCCACACAAACGGGCCAGGGCGCTGCGAGAGATCAGAGCGCTGGGGGTATCGATCGCCTTCTTCCAGGAATCCCACTTCCATGCACCCCAGGCTCCTAAGTTCTCCAACAAATACTACCCCAGTTGGGGACTCAGCAAGGTCTCTGCATACGCCGATGATCTCCTGTTCACTATAACCAACCCAGCACATTCCCTCAGAGAACTGATGCATCAATTCGACATATACAGCACATTGTCAAACTTAAAAATAAACTTCACGAAATCTGAAATCCTCAACGTGGGATGCCCCCAAACGCTGGCGACCACGCTACGAAATGACTTCCCCTTCTACTGGTGTACAGATCCAATCAAATACCTGGGGACCTGGCTATCGGCGGACCACACAGACACCTTCCGCGTCAACTTCCCTCCCCTCCTCAAACTGGATAAAAATGGACCTGGACTCTTGGCACCTCCCCCACATTACATGGCTAGGGAGGATCAGTGTACTCAAAATGAACATACTCCCACGACTCTTATATCTCCTGCAAACCCTACCAATACACATCCCCAAAACCTTCCTCACACAAACCCATAAGACACTGGCAGACTATGTGTGGCACCGTAGAAGGGCGAGACTGAACTTCGCCACCCTCACCAAACCTAAGCAACACAGGGATCTGGGACTGCCAGACCTGGCAAAATATCGGTGGGCCGTCCATCTCCAAAGGCTGATAGAATGGACACATAACCCAAAACTTTGGATCCCGATAGAAGCAAGCTTCTCGCAGACACCTCTATCTCTCCTCCCATGGCTACCAAAAGCCATGATCGGCGAACTGCCGAAACAACACCCAACTCTGAATGCCACAATGACCGTCTGGAGGAAAATGGCACTACACAAGGACATGGCCCCGGAGCTCTTGCCCCTATGCCCCATATCACACAACCCACGATTTCCTCCGGTGATGGATCCCCGCTACGCCACTACACTGGGACTACCATCCCCCTGTAGGCTGAAGGACGTGTACAAACAGGGCACGA